TGAAAACCAGGTCTCAGCTGGAGAACGACTTCATGGGTTTCCTGGCAGGTAGCCCATTTCTATTACCCAGCACTGAGGCCAGGGAAACATGAGTTGGAAGCCTTCCTGGTCTACATAGCAAGGCCCTGTATCAAAACTAAAAGGTAATGGTGGAGAGATGGTTTAGTGTTTCAGACCTCATGTTGATCTTCAGAGAACCAGAGTTTAGTTCCTGGCACCTATTTGACAGAACACAACAGTCTGTAACTCCAGTTCTAGAAGATCTAATGCCTTCTTCTGGCCTCCCTGGGCACCAGGAACATACGTGGTACACATACACACATGGAGGCGCGCACTCTTACACATTAAATATTGGGAACACAGCACCAAGCTACTGATAGCCTGGCATTTGCATTCCTAAGACGTGATTCGATTCTAGGATTCCCCACAGTCAAAATTGGCTTCACCCTAGCAGACAGCCAACTTCTTTTGCTTTGTGTTATTGTTTCACCAAAATTTTCTACACTTTCTGTATTTTAGAAAACACACAGTTTCCAGGGGTATTTTGGAGAGAGAGAGAGAAAAAAAAACATTAGCAGATTTCTGAGCTGGAGTACACATACTTACTCCACAAGCACACTAGATTTGGAAGTGTTTGGAAGGTAGCTGTTGAAAGCCTCAACTTTCCCTCTCGAAAGTGTGATACTTGCTGCTGTAGAGTCTTTGAAATAGTCTTTGTCAGAAGAAGAAGTTTCTTTTCGCAGGAGTGGAAATGGAATCCAGGGCCCCAAGCAGGCTAGGCCTGTGCCCCACCACTGAGCAAAACTCCAAGCACTATTTTACTTTTCTTTTGATCTGTTCTCAACTCTGGAAGCTGTCAAGGCTTAAACAAAACCACCAGTGTGTCCTATTCCAAAGTTGGGATATTGAGACCCCCCCCCCCATCTGAGGCCAGCAAGCCTGGGTAGCTGCTTGAGGAGACATTAGGGGGAAATTTCCTCTCCTTCTGGAAGGAATTCCTTTCTCCCTGCTTCAGGAGATGTGAAGTTAGTTGCCACTAACATTCAGGGTCTCTCAAAGTCAGCTCCACTGATACCCAGATCACTATTATTCATACTCCAGCACATTGAAGGATGTTGAATGATTGAGTGAACCTCATTACCATCCTCTACCCACAGACACCAGTAGTATTCTCACATCAGCTGTGACAGTCAAAAGTGTCTCTAAACATTGCCACATGCCCTCTGGGAAGCCTAAGCTGGTAACTGCTTTATCTTAAAGTCAATGCCCATTGACTTTTCTGTATTGGCAACATATAGACACCAGTGACAAATACATGCATGATGCCCTTTATCTCTTAGGACACCTTGAATTAAATTAATTTTATCTGGTAACATGTAAGTTACCATGTGATGCTTTGATACATGTTTACACTGTACAGTGTTTAAACCAGGTTCAAAACAACTTTATCTGTACTTCCTTTCTGAATGTACCCCAGAGAGCACCCCATATCAGCAATCACCCCATTTGTCATAGCTACAAAGTGTTAGCATATGAGATATGTCCAGCCATTGACTGTTACAAACTATGTAAATATACTTGCACATTTACAAATATAGCCACTTAAAAAAAAATCCGTGAGATGGAATTTGTGGGTCAACAGGTTTATAATTTTGATAGATAAGAAGAAACTACCCTCTCTGGAGATTATAACTAATTTCTATCCCCTGTAACAATATAAGAGACTTCCTATGGTTTTACTTTTTCCTCCAACAAACTATGTCAATTCATTTATATGGTAGCCAGGAGTTGTTATTAGGTATCTTCTATTGCTCTCTGCTTCTTCTTCTTTTTAAAATATTTATTTCTTTTTATGTACGTGTGTGTGTGTGTGTGTGTGTGTGTATCTGAGTGTGTGAGTGTGTGTATGTACACCATGTGGGTGTAGGAGCCCACGGATATCAAAAGCAGAACTGGATCTCCATCTGGAATTGGAGTTACAGATGGCTTTGAGCTACCATGTGTGCTCGGGAATGGAACCTGGGTGTTCTGTAAGAGCAGTAAAGGATCTTCACTTTTGCGCCATCTGTCCGGGCTCTAACTTTGGTTTTGCAACATGCTCTTTCACTGAATGTAAAGCTCACCATTTCAGCCAGCTTGGCTGTCCAGTAAGCAGTCAGGACCCCACCATCTCCATCCTTGCCCTAGTGCCACTGGGTCAGTGTTTTTATGTGTGTGCAGGGATCTGAACTTGGGTCGCCCTGCTTGCCATTTACTACTGAGCAGGTTTCCCAGCCTCTCAACATTTTAATCCTTTGTCTGTCGCAGAGATGGAATAGGTGCTTCTGGGGAAAATACGAAGCGGGGCAGAATAGATAAAACAATATTAGTCATGGGTTGAAAATGCTGAAGCTGCGTGATGGGAACAGACAGGGAAGTTCACTGTGATAGTCAGCTTTAGCGTACATAGCTTTAATGTTTCCTAAAGTAAAATATTTGTTAAATGAGTCTTTGTTTTTCACTCTGCTGGATCCCATATAGTTATCCTTTCTCCATTTTTACTTTGTTGTTGAAACTTTCCAACTGGTTCTGAAGGATGGGTTTAAATGCTAGAGAGTCACTGTTTGCTTTTGAAAGTTTTCCTAGTCAGCCATGTACCTTTTGAGCTGTCTGAGTTTATGTTTTACTTTTACAATCTTTATTTTACAGCTTCTTAGCTTTATATCATAACTAGAAAAACCTTCCCCATTCCAATATTATTTTTTTGGTTTTTAAGACTTATTTATTTTATTTTATGTGCATGAGTGTTTTGCTTAAATGTATGTCTATGCATCTTGTTTAGTGCCTGCAGACACCAGAAGAGAGCATCAAATCCCCTGGAAGTAGAAATACGAATGGTTGTGAGCAGCTATGTGAGAGCTGGGAATTAAACCTGGAACCTCGGCAAGAACAAGTGCTCTTGACAACTGAGCTATCTGCCCAGATCTTTTGAATTTATCTTTTGAATTCTTTTCTGTTCTCACACAGTATTGATTTTTGTTTTTTGTCATTTACAGTGAGTGTTTTGATTGGTTTACCAGTTAGATGGAGCCCATCTTTGAGGCAAGGACCCAGTTTTATTCGACTTCCTTGTGGGCTCAACCACATCTGCTATTTGACCCATCAATTCTTCATCGACTTCATGCCCCTTTATCACATACTGAGTCTCCATAGGTATGAGGTGTTACTCATAAGCCAGTGTTCCCTCCATTACTGGAATGGCTGAAACTCACAATTTCTTCTTTTTGTCTAATTGCATTGGCTAGTGCCACAAAAGAAGATTGAATAGTTTGTAAAATGAGCATGTTAAAGTTCATATGCTGGGCCAGTAAAATGACTTGGTAGGTAAAGGTACTTGCTACTGAGTAACGCAAGCCTAACGACCTAGAACACAAAACAAAGGAAAGAAAAGACTCCACAAAGTTGTCCTCTGACTTCCACACATACACAACAGAATGCACATTGTTCTACATTCAGTAACAATTTTAAGAATATGCATAGTTGACATGTATACCTATATATGTACCTAACTTCACTAAGTGTGGCACTCACTAGTTTGAGGCTGGAATTGACATGTTCTATTTTAGTGATATATTTGAGTATTGCTAACTTCTGAAACAATGCCCAAACCTCAGAGACTTAATAAATAAAAGTTGCTGTTGTTGTTTCTATCCCCAAATGCAGTACATTTTGGGCCAAGTCAGGTACAGGAGAACTTTTCATCAAGTCCTGTAGGGCCTTGTGCTCTGTCTGCCATCCTTACTGCCCAGAGGCTTCCCTGATTCTTCACCTATGGCTGACAAGAAAGGGAGAGAACATGCAGGCAACTGTACAGAGATGTCCTGAGACCCAGACTTTGCAACAGTCAGGAGCATTTGTTTCCATGTTTCGTTGGGATTGTTAAACCCAGGGCATGAGGGACTGGCGAGGTGGCTCAGTGGTTACTGCTCTTGCAAAGCCAAGGAGGGTGGCTCACAACTGCTTCTAAACTCCAGTTCAGGAGATCTGATGCCTCTGTCTTCTCCAGGTACCAGCACTTATGTACACCTACCTGCATACACACACACACACACACACACATGTTTTTAAATAATGAAAGAAATGTTTCTTTGAAAACCTAAAAAACAAAACAGGGACTGAGGGGCTAGTGAAAACTACATCAGTTAAGAGCACTTGCTCCACTTGCAGAGGACTTGGGTTTGGTTCCCAGCACCCACATCAGGTGGGTCACAACTGTCTCTAATTCCATTTCCAGGGGCTCCAACACCATTTGCTGGCCTTTACATATACCTGCACCCATGTTGTACACACACACAGACAAGCAGGTAGGCATGCAAATACACACTTAAATAAAAATAAAATTAAGGGGGGGGGTGCTGGAGAGAGGATTCAATGGTTAAGAGCATGGTCATTCCTCCAGAGGACCAGAGTGTGATTCCCAGCACCCATGTTAGGTCATCTGTAAATCCAGCTCCAGGAGAATCAGAGCCTCCAGATACCAGTCCTCACAAGCACACAATCCCAGAGACCTGATCAAAATAATAAGATAAACTTTTAAAACATAAGATATCTTTAGTTTGAGGCTGTACATCCAGCCCACCAGCCACCACACAGCAGAGCCTGTCTGGAGAGAGCATGTCTATGTCTGCTTATTGTAAGGTTAACAAATTGGTCCTTGAACACAACTAGACATTTCACAAGTCTCCATTCCAGGGACTAGAGCAGACTATGAGCAACCGTTTTTAATTTCACTGGGAATCTATCAAATACCACAGAAATGACAAGGCTAAGATCTCATTCAACAAAAGAGACATTTTTGAGGAACTTCCTTTTTTTTCTTTTCTTTTCTTTCTTTAGTTTTTTGTTTGTTTGTTTGTTTGTTTGTTTACTATGTAGCCTTGGCTGTCCCGTAACGCACTATGTAGACCAGGTTGGTCTCAGACTCATAGAGATCACCCTGCCTCTACCTTCCAAGTGCTGAGACTAAAAGACTATGCCATTATGCCTGGCTGGCAATTAAATAAAAAAAAACCTCTTTTTAAATTGTTAAATATTCAATAGACCCCTCTTAAATTTTAGAAATACATTATTTTCTTTTTTCTTTATGAACTCACATCTACAACGTGTTTTAATAGTAAAACATATACTCTAGGGAAAAATCAATGAGTCCAAGATGGATTATATGATGGACATAAATATAAGTTGTAGCTTCACTGTGTGCAACTTCTTGAGAAGATAACTAATTTGTTTCCCACTCAACCATTATCCACAAGTGCATAGGTTATTCCATAGGTGAGTGTGAAACTTGAGTTAGAAGTTTGGGGACTCATGATTTTCCAAGGTTTGTGATGTGTGCATACTGGGGTGTTGCAGAATAATTATCTGTGTTCAATCAACAGCCTCCCCCAGTTTATATCCTTAAAAAGCTGTTTGGAGCAGATGATCTGAGGAGTCTGCTTTTGGTGGGTGGAGGAAGAGTTCTCTTTGGAGCTCAGACGTTGTTCTCCTCTGCCACTTTCTGGCTTCACAAACCCTCTGTGCCTTCCCCTATTGGCACTGTCTGACAATGTTTACTAAGAACAGCCAGTATACCAGATCCACCGCCAGGTCACGGCAATACAAAGCAGCCACAAACCTGGGCCCCGTTTTGGAAGGAGTCGCTCTGCGGTGAAGAAATGGATGAGAAAACTATCACAGCAGGCAAGAACTGTTTCAGTTTCCAGATCAAATCAGATCCTGTTCAAGCCTCCACCTGCAGGCGGGAATTCCAGATCACAAGCGTGCACCTTCTTGTCCTCCTAAATTATCTAGGGGTCCTGGAGCTCTTTCACAAGGGAGGAGGAACAGACAGCCATTACTCTCCCAGTCTGATCTGGTTTCTGCTAATCCATGCAGAAGCAGGTGGGGTCCTTCCAAAGAGAGCTGCTCTTTGCTCATCAGGTTCTCTCTGCAGGCTTCCATGTTGCTCTGTCCTCCATAGCTTGGGTCCCCATTCATCACCAGCCTCAATGAGCTATGGCTTTAGGAACCCAATCCTTCCAGACTGGCTTCCTGCACGCTCTCACTTCCTCCAGGCACAGCTTTGGCGCCTTGATGGAATCACAATGGCCCAACCTCCTTCCAGACCTGAGGGCTTCTCCAGTGGAATAGTTATTTTCCTTCTCAGCCCCTGACATACAAAGGCTTTATGTTTTCTGTTTTCCATGAAGTGCTGCCGTGACAAACCCTGGTCTGTGAACTACCTGGCAAGCAGGAGGTCCTCTTCCCAGATGTTCCAGCAGCTCATTTTGTGGTCTTGAATCTGGGCCACCGCTTGCTGTTGTGAAAGTTGCACATTGCACAACTTCAAGACAAGGAATCCTGGGTCAGAGGACAAACACGCACAAATTACACAAAGAAACTGTTGGTTTACCAGAATGACTGTGTCAGTTTTCAGACCCATGAGCAATGCACTGTCTCTACACAGCCTTGCCAACTCTTGAGTCGTCGGTCCTGGGTGTAAATGTTGCTATTCAGATGGGTAGGAAGTAGCTTCCATCACTATGATCTCTGGACCACTGCTGACCCAGGGACCGTGTCCTCTATCATCTGTCTGGATCATGAATTGCTATGGGAGGAATGTTCGTGTCCTTCCATGCTCCTATGTTAGAATCCCAACCAAAACAATGATCCGAAGAAGTGAGGCCCTTCCAGAGATTAGTCAGGAGGGGGCCCCTCATGGTGAAAGCAGTGCCCTTATTTATTGAACTGCATCCATTATCAATGTGCGGCCACAAGACAAGCATCTGTAAACCAAGATGACGGCCCTCACCAGAATCCAACCGTGTTGATGCTCTGCTCTCTGACTTCCAGCCTCCAGAAACTTGGGAATTAGACACGTAGTATGTATAAGCCACCTAGTCAATAATAACTAGAGTTCTAAGCTTTGGTGAGTACTCCAGCAATGTCACTTAGGTGGAGGATGTTAAGGATAATGAAAAATAGATTATTCATCCCCTCCCCAACTACCATTCCATTCAAGACTCTTAGAACACCTCATTCACTTGGCCCTAACAGACACCCTGTAGAATTCACAACACATCATGCTCCTTCCTGTGGACTGGTAGGTACAAACTGAAACAGGTGCTGCAGATGGGCAGGGCTGGGGACAACAGCATAAGCATGGGATCTGCATGGAAGTCAACAACAATATTACTTGAACTAATTGTTTAAGTTACCTACAGCATACACTTTTTCCCATCCTACACTTACATCCTCATATAATAAGTATTAATGGAATATCAGGCTTTATTTTACATGCAGAAGACTGAGCAATACAAATGGTAGGGTCTCTAGAAACTCCTGTACTCTAGAGGAGAAATGAACATAACTTTAAAATACTGCAACATTATAGACACGCTCAGAGTTCAGAGTATTGGAACCATGTTCTTTTTCCATTACCCAAGGACAAAGTTCCCCAAATATGCAGCCTTTTGCTATGTTGCATGAGGGATACGGGTGGCAGCTTCATAAACTGTTCTTAATAGAGCCATGGACAGCTGAGTAGAGCTACCCAGTCTAACCTAGTAGGAACCAGGCCTTAGGGACATGTGGTACCCATTTCTTGTTATCCTGAACTTCTAACCTCTGCCAAGCATATAGTTCATTAATGTGAAACACGGCAAAGACTTATAACCCTCCCTGATCAACAGAAGGATGAATCTACCTCTACACTCTGTGCCAGCTCATTTACTTACAAATGGCATCCTCTTGCTATGTCCTCATGTGGTCAGCCCTCTGCCTATGTCTTAGTGCTGTCTCCTCTTCATATAAGAACATAAGCCCTATTGGAGAGGGCCCATCCTCATTGTTTCAGTATAATTTGGTTTCTTCAGTAAATATCTGTCTCCAAATATGACCACATGTGCATTTGGTAGGCTAACGGAATCCAGTCTTTAATAGGGAGAAAGCACAGAAACACACCATCCAGCCAGCGAGCCTGCATTCTGAACAGATGAGGAAGCAGCGACCGGCAGATAAACAACCAAGACAACAGCATGCTTGACACAGAACTGGCTTGAGTTTCATCTACTTTGACTTCTTCCCTCTGCTTTCTCTGTTGGCAAAGGTGCTAGTCCAGAGCCATGGAGTAGCCATAGCAATGGAGCAGGGCACTTACACCACCAGTCTATGCCAATAAAGAAAACTCAGAGATGACAGCAACCAAAGCAGGTTCTGAAGTCGAAAGAAGGCCAGGGAATGTGTTGCTCTGTGACTCAGTAACTCAGTCATTACTTCCTCCCCCCAATTTCATAAGAGAGAATTAAGTGGAACATTTTATTAAGCGTTTTCTCATATTTCGTAGAAGAACTGAATCAATTTCATGTACAAAAAAGCATAATAAAAGTAAAGTGTGGGATTGTGAAAGGAAAGAAAATTGGGTGATAGAATGTTGACATTATTAAAAACACAGCTAGTGCAGCTAGTGAACATCCTTGCAAAGTGCAAAGACTCCCTTTGGAGACATCCGAAGATCTGACCTGATCTCTGGTGGAAAAGCCTGCCCAAGCCCGGAGGCTTAGACAGTCAGCCAAGCTCGGCATTCCCATGGAAAGGACAAATGTGGATATTGCAGGAGGCATATTACAGAGTATGCCTAGATCAAATAATTAAAGCACTCATCAATACCCTCAGGACTTGTGAAATAAAATCAACTGTGTGAAAATCCTATTCAGTCTGGTCCACAGGAGTAAATCTTCACATTTGTCTTGCTCCTTGACAGTGCAATTTAGTAGCATGTCTTGGTAGTCAAGGAAACAAGTAAGTAAAAATGCATTTGTTTCTCTCAAAAACTCAACAGCAGCAAATAATTCAGAAGTGGCACAGACTCGATTGGATGTTCCTCCAAAGGTACAAGATTAGCTATTAAGTGGGTGGCACAAAGCTTACTGGAATTTTCATAGCCATTAAGATGTCATTAACTTTCAAAAAGGATGCATGTGGCTGTCTGATGGCTAGTCTTGGTTTCAGTTTGACTACATCTGGAATTAACCAAAACTCAAGCGGCTGGGGACACCTATGAGGGATTTTTCTTAGTTAGATCCTTTAAAGTATAAAGAACCACCTTAGTCTGGATCTTTAGGCGTGGGAAGATCCACCTTAAAGCTGGGCCACGCCTTCTGGAAGCACATAAGGACATGGAAGAAGGCAGTGCTTTGCTCTTTGCCTCTTGCCCGTGTTCTCACTGACCACTGACTCCCTCACTGGCATTAGAACACACTTCTTTGAAATTTCAGTGTATACTGAAGACCAGTTAGTATGTCTAGCCTTATGGACTGAACAACTACTGGATTCTTGGATCTTACATTGGTAGACAGCCATTTTCAGACTAGCTAGACCACAGCCTACAAGCCATGCTAATAAATCCCAGATAGATAGATAGATAGATAGATAGATAGATAGATAGATAGATAGA